GCCGCATTCACATGGTCACCGGAGCGTCAATTCTGCTTTTATCGGACCAAGAAGGCCATCAAATCAGCCCTTCCTCTTATGCACAAAGACCTTAGTCTGCCGCTTGTCGTCGCTGCAGATACTTCTAACTACGGAGTTGGAGCTGTGCTCTCCCAAAGATTTCCTAACGGGATTGAAAAAGCCGTCTACCATGCTAGCCGTGCTCTGACAGCAGCACAGATGAAGTACAGCCAGATAGAAAAGGAAGCTGTGGCTATCATTTTTGCAGTTCAAAAATTTTATCGCTCGTCGTCATCGTCACTTCACGCTGATTACCGACCACAAACCACTCCTCCCCATTTCCGGAACGCAAAAAGGAGTTTCCATCTACACTGCCAATCGCCTTCAACGATGGGCTACTACGCTGCTATACTACAATTTCAGCATTCAGTAGGTCAAGACGAGCGAGTTTGGACAAGCTGGCACCCTTCCGTGGCTTACTGGGCTCCACTCGCCATAACCAGAAGACCGACTTATTGCTTCTATTGACGCTGACCTCTGCGCAAAAGTAATGGACATCAACTACCGGTTTCATTCAAATCCGTCCAAGCGGCAACTATGCTGACCGTACTCTGACTCAAGTTATCGGCTACATACGATCTGCAAAATGGCTAAAAGTGAACCGGGACTCACCCTTTTGGCCATACTATGATCGACGAGAGTCACTATCAACCATCGGCCCATGTCTTCTCACGTCAAACCGTCTCGTAATTCCAAAGTCGCTTCAACGTCGTAACCTACAAGCGCTCCACAAAGCCCATCCAGGTCAAACAAGGCTGAAGATGCTGGCTCGCAGCTATGTATAATTGCCGTCAATGGGAGCCGATATAGGGAAACTTGTCAGCATTCGCGATGCCCGTGCACAACAGGCCAAAAACCATGTGAAGACCGAGCTACAATTTTGGCCGGAACCACACACTCCGTGGGCTCGAGTGCATGCCGAGTTCGCAGGGTCCCTCGACGGCAACTTCAATTAGGTGTAAGCATTAATTTCCGCCGCCGCATTCGGAGGGTCGTTGCGAGAAACATGTTAGAAGTTTACCTTTGGAACCCGTCATATTCTGTAAAATAGAGTATTGGTCACCTATTTAAGGGCATATAGATCAGTTTTTCACCAAAATCCCGATGCTCTCGAACTGGTTGGTCATGGAACGTGATAAGTGGTTTTTCCGGGAGGCCCTTCTCCTGCTGTTTGATTTAGAGAAGAATGCCAGCAAGGCCCACCGGTTGCTTCTCGATATTTATGGAGAACAAGCTCTATCTGGAAGAACCTGCAGCTCTCACGCAAAAACAGCCGTTATTCGCAAGAAAACATCATAAGGTGCTGTTCCACCATGACAACGCCAGATCCCATGTTGCAAAGGGTGTCCTTACAAAACCTGTTCATCCTGGATGGGTTCAGCTTGTTCAGCCCGCATACTCCGCAGATCTTGCTTTTTCTGATTACCACTTATTCCGGTTTGGCAGATAGACGCTTCCGGAATGCCGAAGAAGTGCGGAAATGGGTGGATGACTGGATTACCTCAAAAGATGAAGACTTCTTAAGACGCGGAATCGAAAAGCTATCAGAAAGATGGCAAGAAGTTGTAGCGAACAACGGACGATACATTGGTTAAGGTATACTCCGTTTTGATTTTGTAATAAACATGTTTCTGCACGCAAAATGCGGCGGAAATTAATGCACACACCTAATACCTCGTCATCGTGGATGCATTTTGACTTGATGTTTTGTTAACTGCTGTTACATCGCCACAGTACGCGTTCCGAAAGTCTCACGATGTTGACGATTTATGGAGAGAAGCTCAGTCTCGGACGAGACTCAAATCCGTACTTACCCCAGGAAGGGCCAGTACAGGTTCGAGTCCCATCCGAGACTGAAGTTCTGTCCATGAATCGCCACTTGTGAGACTTTCGTTGATGCATTCGCTAAATGGCCCGAGATCATCCAGATGAATTCAATCACTACGTCGGCAACAATCGAGGTTTTATCAAAGGTATTGGCACAGTTCGGGGACCCGAAGGCACTCATCACGGACAACGGCACCCAGTTCACTTCTGCGCCATTTGTGGATTCCTGCCGCTGTCAAGGAATGAAACATACCCAATCTCCTCCCTTCCATCCGCAGAGCAATGGACAAGCAGAGCGGTTCGTAAACACGATCAAGTGAGGGTTGGCCAAACTGAAGAAGGAGGAACCAACGACAGAAGCACTTCAGGCTTTTCTGATGCCCTATCGTTTGACAACCCGTTTTCGTACTGAACTAGACTTAATAATGCCATCCTCAGAAGACAACACGAGACGTCGTGACCCCAAAATGGAGGGTTAGTTCAACAGAAATCAGGGAGCCAAACAACGCCACTTCGACATGGATGATGCTGTCCTCGCTAAAGATATCGCCAAGCGAAAACTATTCGGTCACCTCGCTAGACGGGATCATCGCTAGAAGTCTCGGGAACGTCATGTATCTCGTACGCTGTGGAAGTTCACTATGGACAAGACACGCTAACTAGCTGAGGCCACGCGACATTCAGCCAGTAAACAACCAACTACTAGATGTAGACTAGATAGGATGTCATTCCACTCAATTTGACGACGCAGGGTCACGGAGCCGCTCAATGTTCAACTCCACTGTCGACGCCGCGACTGCGACATTCACTACGCCCAAAGAAGAAATCATACTCCTCACAACCATTTCTAACTTGTTGTTTTGTTGACTCTACATATGTTCTTTATAATTGAAAAAGGAGATGTTGTAGGCCTTCAGCTACCACGTGTGGTCTACCATAGTCAATTAAAGACCACCTTTAAGGCGCCAAATTCTAGAATTTATTCTGGTGTTACTCCAGTTTGACTAGGATATTTGACCACGTCAACTACTATACAAACCTGACCTTTTCGCTAGTTATCATTGCATCCAATTCGTCCTCACTAATAAAACTTCACCGTTAGACTCTACATCACTTGAATACAAATGCCCAGTTACCACAACGAGCAAGGCAAATACCTGAATGTAATTAGTAGGTCTCAATAAATTTCACCATTTTGGCACACCTCGAAATGAGATTGTTGTCGAACCACAAACTGGCTCGCGATTAACGTAAAAATCGATAAAGACGGTTCAGGGAATCGATCGATGCGCGCCCTTGAAGAATGATGACACAACAAAGTATTGGATATACCCATGCTAGCGGCAGATTTCTTCAAAGGAATCTTGCCCAGCTGCCACCTTGAACACCACTCTGGACGAGTACAACCAGTGAAAAGCAGGGAACACCAAGCAAAATCGTAGACAGAAAGAAATGCAGTACAGTGCATAGTGGAGGGCTGAAGCTCAGGCCGCACAACCACTGCAAAACTGTCCCTATCATGACAAAAAAGACACCTCAGTGGTTTTCAGGCTGACCCTCGAGCTCTCAAAGTCATAAGAAAGAAATCCAGAAAACTGACAGCTCAACGCACATGGTACTCGTTTCCGTTGACGATCAACATTTTTACTCGACATCGAACGCGTCGTTTGAAGCGATTATCCTGAGACGTCAAAGAATCAAATTTATTTCACTAGTGGAGAGCAAGAAACAGAGCAATGAAGAGTCTACTAGTCATACGGACATCGCATTTGTTGACAACACATTGCCTTCTGAGGGTCGCGAAACGCCAAGTTTGACTAGCAACTGGTGCATTTCAGCTTGAGACCTGATCACCGTTGTTGGTGGATTTATTCGAAAGTGATCAATCGATTTAATCTTGGCAGAAACATCATTGAGAGACTTCTGCTTTTGCCAGAGATCCTTTCTCATTGCTCATGTCTGTGTAAATACTAATCTATGCAAAATGTGGTTAACCGAGGTGAACCGCAAGTTCCTCCAATAGTGAGTGATGTGACCGACGATAGATTCGCCTTTCTGCACCAGGCTCAAATTGTCAGACTATCCTACGATGAATCACAGTGAATAATCTGGAGAAGGCCTGCAGAGCCTTCTCCCGAGTTTTAGTAAATATGTGAGAGATAGTGTGGTGTCAACGTCCCAATTCAAGACTTCTATCGTTCCAAAAAAAGGTCGAGCGAGAGTTGTGCAGCAACCCCGATATCCTTTGGAATAGATACCAAAGTATGAATATCTCGGAAGGAGACAAAAATTCTGAAGATGGAAATTGCAAATTCCGTCACGGCTGCCGATTTGGCAAGAAGCAGGAGCGCTCAATTCATATGCCTTCAAAAGAGAGTCAGGTAAAAGCAAAAATCAAAGAAGATACTCGCGTTCGAATCATGATTGCGAAGATAGGTATGATGAAGTGGTATTAGACGATGATACTTCGTTTAATTACCCATGAAGGTGTCGAAGCCGACAAACGCCATAGAGGAATTGTCGTACTTGTCATTTTGAATGGCTGAGTATGTCTTACTTATTCCCTCACAACTCAGACCGAGTCTTTCGTTGCTAGTGTTCTTATTATTCCGAAGAAAAAAATCTCCCCGATTTACTAAGGTAAATGAAGCGCAATTGAGGGTAAATATGACTTTCTGAGGGCGGAGGTGGTGTAGTGGCAAGTGGCGCACTATATCACATGCACGGTCAGGGGTTCGAATCCCGGATCGATGCCTGCCTGGCCGAATCAAGCCTTCCATCCCTCCGGGGTCGGTGAATTGGTACCAGACTCGTCTGGGAGGATAAAAGCACTGACTTGTACATCGACTGGCCACCGCAAGTCATTGTATAGGCCACATACGCACTCATTACGCCACTACGATCCTGAATGGAAGTCGAGTGCGGGGGCGCATCCCTCAAACGGGATTGATTAACGCCAAAAACTTTATCCTTTATCCTTTATGATTTTCTGCGGTTCCTCGGGATTTACAAGGTATTATACTCGCAGTGATTCTATGCGAATGTGTCACAGGTTTTTTGACGCATTCGACTGATGAACTTATAGTTAAGTAATCGGACCTGAACATTTTGACTTACTTGTTGTACAGCACCAAATCTGGAGTCCAAATGAGATCGCTTGGTATATGCAAAGTAAGCAAACCTCCATATTTGATAGGATCCCATACAAGCTTTGAATCAAACCATTTCTGTAAGGTAATTGTTGTAAGAGCGGATGCTTCCGCTGGATATATGCCTTAAAACCTGCTACGCGATAGTTTGAATAACATACCATTTCCAACCATAAATTCGTGGTTAGCACTTGATTCTTCTCGTCCTACAGAAAATATGATTACAGATAGCTCAATGATATCTAAAGTACCAAAAACTAGCTCACCACATCTATGATGCGGATTAGGGAAGCACCAACATCCACGGTGAGAATGTCTGAGCTATTCTTGACGGGTCGCGGAATTTTATTGTAGTCAAAGAGAAGGTCTTCGTAGAGTTGGCCTTCGAGATCTTTCGACATCTGATTGAATTCAGCACCCATTATAACTGAGATCCATAAAGTCACAGCATGTAACACTGCACAATAACACGGCAGCATGTGAGTTCAGATTGGTTCTTTTGAATCCAATTACAGTTCAATTTGATTGTTACTGGAACCAAAATAGTAAATTTTACCCTAAATAATGAAACTGCAGATCTTCGATTATCGTTTCAACAACAAGTGAAAATGTTCACTTTAAAATATGCTATGAGTAGAGAGCGATCAGCAAAAAATAGTACTTTTCGCGTTTGAAGAAGTAGATGGAAGGTCTCAGAGCATAGCAATCCTCAGAAAAATTGAACACATGATGGACAAATAAGGAAGGATGAACCTAGTTCTTCCGCGCGACTGAAAAGCCTGAGAGCTAGGAAATCCTGAAATTGTAGGGGTTTCAAAAGTATGCGGTTTTGTATGTTGTTTCTCCTGGACTGAGATGTTCCTGAGCGGAGGAAATCGATAGACGACGAGAGTGCGGATTATAACATTTGGTAAATGACGTGAATGGCGTGTGCTGCAGCTTATGGATTAGATGGACTAGAGAATTCCGAATGTGAGGAAAGTTGAGGGAGGAGAGGAGGCAACATATCTAGAAGAGAAACTTTCTTCAGAAATTGCCTCGCTTGCTAATGTTTCATCTTGCAGCGATGCCCTTTCAAATGCACACATTTCTCAGTGGGAATTCAGATGTAGTTTTCTAGCAAGTTCTGGAAAGTATTCAACTGCTCTATTTTGCCGCAACAGCCTCACGAGAAAGTCTCACAAAATTGACGATTAACGGGCTAGACTTTGCATCGAAATCGAAGTGACTCGAACACGTACATGTACTATCTACTTAGGATTTGCCCATTACTCACCAACCTTGCGAGGTTTTTCAGAGAATAAAGACTTTTGTATTTCATGTCAAAACGAAGAGCATATAAGAAAGGCATACGTTTAATGTAATATATTAGTCGAAGCTATTGAATGCAGATAATCGTACTCATTTTGCAATTCATTAATTCATTCTCAAAGGCAGGAATAAAAGTGTTGTTGAGCTCGTGATTCATTCTGTCCTCAAGGAGGCCACAAGATTGGTCACAGACTTGATGAGAACTATGCCTTGCAAGTATGAAAAATAATTCAATTAATGGTGCAAGCTTCAGGCCCGGGTTCACAGGTAGGCCGATGGAGCGACTCTTCACCACAAGTACGATTAATTTTACGACGAATGAAGTTTTTCGGTGACGAAGATAGGATGTCAGCCAGGATTGGTGTTGGCAGTCTTCATCTCGCTCTACCTATCTTACAATATCCCTTCTCGATCCTGTTTCGCTTGCCAGGCACATAGTTTCCTGGCAGTGTAAAGGACAGTAGTACAACAGTTTATTGAAGGCGAAGCCCTGGTATAGGCAATGAGGTTAGTACCGTCACAGCTCCCATTCTCGGTGAAGAGACGACTGGGAGCAATTGAGCTGTACCCAAAAGCGAGCCTGACTTCAGTCCTAGTCATCTTATATTCGTATTTTACAGCTGCGTGGTATCTCGGCTCAGCTCAGCTAAAGAATCATACGGTACAGCCTTCCCATGAAAGCATGTGGCTAATTCATAAGGCTTCTCCTCTGACTGGTCAGGTAGCTCAGCTGACGTCAGGCTCTACTCTTTTTTATGTTAATGATGGAATATCCTATTGATTATTCCTATTCTATTTCCTCCTTTTCTTTTCGGAAAACGAGTAGTTGGCAGATCCATATCAGGTGGTACAAATCGACACAGTGAATGGTCGAAAACGGTTACCATGACCGATCGCTACTTTCACAGGAACACTCCCATTACATCTCTTCAACTTTCTAGGAGTTGTGACGCGATTGATCGGTCAGCAACAGAACAGATCCATTCAACAAACCGTCGTATCGGCCAACATCCCCATTGCGTGAATCCTACCTGCTACCTCCCGTTAGTGTTCGCATCCTATCGCCTGCATACCTTCCAAATTTCCAAATTTGACTGCTTCAGCTCTGGAAGAACAATTTTTGTGCACTTCGCCCCTTGATTGGACTTAGTCGAGTCCTTTCGCCTACAATTTGGTATTTTCATCTCGCCTTCTGCATCCCTTGTTAATTTTAACGTTCTGATTTTGAGGAGCGATTTTCGCATACGCCATGCTCCCCGCAAGCGAAGTTTAGTTCTGCCACCTTCGATCGCGACTCCTTTTCCGCAGCTTGTACCCCTGTCAAATTTGAACAGCCTAGGTCCACGGAAACAAAAAATCATGCTTCTGGTAATGCCCACTTTTTGCGCACCCTCGCCCCTCATACCCAGAGTCTTCAATTTTGGAATGACGCCATGTAGGGTGGTAACAACAGCCTAACACCTAAACCAGCAGAAAAACAGGTCAAGATTAAATGAGAGTCGATCATGGTCACAACTTGTAACTGCTTTATTTCCACATTATCAAATGGTTTTAAACATAACAATGAACTTTTGATCTTAACCACGCTCACTCCAGAGCAAACCCACTTTGGGGATCCGACCTCTTCCTCCTACACGTTCTAATCACTTCTTTCGCGTTCCAGAAAGAGTAGTAGGCGGAGCTCCCCTGAGTTTATTCATGCCCAGCACACATTAGACCTTCACTACTCCCTCTATTTTTTTCTAGCGTCCGGGCTTTGTTGAGACCGAATGATGACTTTTTTGAAAAGTACCTCCCGCTTTGAGGGTGCCCGCCCTTTAGCAGGTGGGTCTTTCTCGCCTGATTGTTGACCCATCACTAACCTTTCCCCCTTTTCATCCTCAGTGTATAGAAACCGTTTAGAAGCCCCTCACGAGTTGTGAGGAAAGAGGCTATCGAGGAATGAATGATTTCAGACAAATGGGAATTCCGTACGTTGGCTCGCTCGCTGTGAATTCTCGAAAGATTGTTGATTCGATAACGCGCAGAAACATCAAAATCGTATGAGGCACGTTGGGAAGGAGCCACAGTCAAAGAAATTGAAGACGGTATCAAACTCTTTTTCAGTGGAGAAGACTCCAAACAAAATGGCGTGGCTATAACAAAATCTTCCAAGGACTCTGTCGCCGCCGTCGAAAGTTCACGATCGTTCCATGACTGGGAGTATAAATATGAAAGAGGGCGTAATGGACAATAATAACCGTGTACGTACCGCGAGCCGGCTGACCCGACTACAGAAAGGGCAATTTTTATCTAAATCATGACGAGACCATGACCAGATCAGTTATGGAAAAAGACTATGTTGCCACAATGGAGGAACTAGTGAGCGATGGGACCAAGAAAGAATTCACCGTATCAGAAGAATAGGAGGCAAATACCAAAAAGGGGAGGGGATACTCGACTTCGCTACGGCTCACAACCTTGGGGAGAGGAGGAAGACAATAGGAAAATGATCTCAAGCTTTCAAGGCTGTAAAGAAAGTTTCACAAGGTTGGCGATTCATGGACAAAACTTCAGTCTCGGACGAGACTCGAATCCGTACTTGTGCTTGGCTCTATCCCTTACACTACCGAGACCCTGCTTGCCCTTGCCTTCTTAATGGCCTATAAGTTTTGTCCATGAATCGCCAGCCTTCAGAGAATTTCGCTTCGCGTACTGCGGCGCTAAAACAGTGGTTAACAAAGCATGAAGTCGGAACAAGTTAAGCTTACAGCTAAACGGTTATGTGCTGATAATGACCGACCGATTCAACACGTTGTACGTGTGAGTGCTGATAAGCTCTCGCATATAAGCCATCAAGGAGGCGAGGGCAAGCGGGGTCTCGGTAGTGTAAGGGATAGAGCACGGTGCCCACAAAGAAAAAGAACGGGTTCGAGTCCCGCTGAGACAAGTTCTGTTCAAAACTCTCTCCAGTAACTTAGCTGAAGGTTTCGCCGCACTGCCTGTCTGCAGCTGTTATTCGCTTGCAGCCTTTCAATATGTATGGGTTTCTAATCTGGCCTTAAATTTCTTCTTGTCCCAAGAAGATCCTTCGTCGCATCTGAAATGCCAGCGGAGGTATCCACTCGAGGAAGCTTGGCCCTATCAGCACAGGTGTGTTCAGTGTTTGAACCAGTGCGTCGTGGTCTTCGATCAGGTCACCCATGACCTGCCAGACACTGCGTCGATCAGAACATCTCCGTCATACACAACATGCTTCGAGTTCTTTGTGCGATGTTGGGAGATTTTTTGCAGCATGTGACTGAATCTGAACTTGTATCGAAGGAGTCAAGGATCAGAACCACTGCAGAAAGGCAGCACAACACCAACGTCCAATAAGCACCATCTTCTATTCGTTAATGTGTGGTCCAGTCCAGCACGAGTTTTGCCGTTTAGAGACTCCCGTGTTTAACGGCGACGTTTCTCCTCCCAGAGAAAAGAGTAGCCATAGGAGAGTCGAGCCGTCCAGCTACGGCTTCCATTCTCGTTTCTGTCCCCATCTTCTCCCAGTCTCAATACTGCCTTGCCAGGGCTAGTACTGAGTCTTCACCATCGTGGCTATAGCCACTCTGGATCAGAGGGAGCTGACATACCTACCTTGGCAGTTAGACATGCAGACGTGCCCTAAATTATTAGTTACATATCAAACATTTATATAAATATTAGTTGAAAAAATAATGAATGCTCCGACGCAAAGCTCCGTAGAGCAATAGAAAACGTAGACGAGAGATTTCTGGCCAAACAAGTCGACATCTGATGGTGGTGACCGAAAGTGGTGGCAGGGCGGCAAAACGCCTCCCATTTGACAGAAGAAATTTTCCCGAGCGAGTCCTGGTCCTTAACACAGAACGCGATGATTCAGACGTAGCGTACGGGGGTTTGTTGTGAACTCAACGAAGAACGAATTCAACCGCTACGGACAGGGGAGTCTCAAGCAAGGGGCCACCATCTCTCCTGTTCTTCGGCGGTCAAGATAAACTCTACGACTGAAGAACATCGGAGCTTCGCAAAAGAGTGCATAATGAAATACTAAAAATATGAAAGAAAAAACAGAATTGCTTTCAAGACATAAGCCAAAATTACTTGGAGTCGG